CCAGGACCTGGACCCCTGAGGAGTGAGTGCAGTCACTGGACCCCCGAGGAGTGAGTGCAGACACTGGACCCCGAGGAGTGAGTGCAGTAACTGGACCCCGAGGAATGAGTGCAGACACTGGACCCCGAGGAGTGAGTGCAGTCACTGGACCCCCAGGAGTGAGTGCAGACACCAGAACAGAGAGAAGGGGCTGAAGACACACTTCAGCCGCAAAGGCTGACAGCAGATGGGGCGGGACGGGCAGTCGCTGCTAACAGGGCACAGGATTTCAGTGTGAGACGACAACACGTGTACTACAGACTGACGGACACTTGTCACCTGAGGTGCACGTGCTGACCGCGGCATGGCAACATGAGTACACGTGCAGCCACAGAAACGTACGTGTAAAATGGTGAAAACGGGATATTCTGTGTTCTGCAAATGCTGTCACGATTAACCAAAACGCCGGGCAGAGAAGGAAGGCTGTTTCCAGGAGTGAGCGCAGCAGGGGGTAGAGGAAGCGGCAATGACAGTGTGCTGTCACAAAGGCCCAGAGCAAAACCTGGGCAGGCAGCAGCGCCCGCAGAGCAGCCGCGTGCGACGGGCAGAAACTGACCTGCTTGGATCCCACACCCAGGTCCCGGGACGCTCTGCCTGTCTCACACACACACACACACACACACACACTATGAGGGCAGAAACTGACCTGCTTGGACCCCACACCCAGGTCCCGGGACGCTCTGCCTGTCACACACACACACACACACACACACACACACACTACGAGGGCTGCCGCCCTGGCCTGGTATCAAGGCAGTCAGATTCCACGTGGCTGACCAGGCCGACCATGCTGCAGTGGGCCTGGCAGCTTAGAAACATGCCAGGCACATGTGTGCGTGTGCCCAGCATCTCCAAAGGGAGAGAGAGAGAGAGATGGTGATGTGAACATTAAAACGGGGAGCTGCCATCCCCTATTCCTCTCCCTCTCCCTGTTCTCTGGCAAGCACACATACTCTACAGCAAAAAAAAAAAAAAAAAAAAAAAAAAAGAAAGAAAAAGAAAAGTTAAATAAACAATCTCCTTGGGGGAGGGGGAGGGGTTTAGGGGCATGAAAATTTAAAATAGGTAAGTCATATTTTCCCTTATGGTTTGAAAAAGCATGTATTTTAAACATACATTATAGCTGCAGCTATTATACTATGCATGTAGCTATAAAATTTAAACATTCTTTTTACATAAGTTTTAAAAATATTTTATTTTATTTTTATTATTATTTCTATTATTTTAATTTGACAGAGAAGAAAAATGAAAAATCAAGTCACCAGGTCCAGGACTCGAACCGCAGTCAGCCATGTGGGAGTCCAGCATCTTAACTACTATGCCATCTGCCAGCCCCAAATTTAAACACTGTTAAACACATCTAGTAGGTTACACCTTTTCTGGTTTTTTTGTTTGTTTGTTTTTTTAGGTTTTTGCTATGGGGAGGGCATATGCACTTGCTGGAGAGAAACAGAGACATGAGGAAGGGAAAGTAAGAAATCACCCCCCCAGGGGGTTACCACGCTACAATGCCCTCTCCTCCATTCTCTTTTTGGGATTTTGGGCACACATGCACCCTGTCTGATTTTTAAGCTGTGGGATCTAAGACTAGAACTGTGGTCCAGCCAGGTGGGAGCCCAGTGCCTTAAGCACCATGGCACCTGCTGGCCCTGAGTACACCTTCAGAACTGAGAGTAGCTGCCTCTCTTGTGTACTACTGGAATCTTTTTTCCTCCGTTCTCAGAACATACCCCATCGCCTGGTTCTCAGAACTCAGACTGTACGGGGGTCACCGCACCATCAGCCAGGGCTGGCAGTTACAGCTTCCCTAAACCCCCTTCCAGTCCAGCCTGCCCCCCTGCCCCCACCCCTTCTCTCCTCATGCTTGGCCCCTACCCCACTTCACCTGCCACACGTTCATAATCCTCTCGGCTAGCAATGGGGCCCCATCAGGAACCTGGGAGCCCTATAATCACCACGGGGCTCCCACCACACCCCATGACACACCCAGCCCAGCACCTGCCCCGATCTAGGGGCCCCATCAGGAACCTGGGAACTCTACACTCACTGCACCCTTCCTCCCCACCACGGTCCCAGCCCAGCACCCGTGCCCGGCACCCAGCCCTGCATCTGGCTAGCGGTCTCCGTCCTATAACCTCCGATCTCTAATACCCTTTGACATGGTAAAGCAAACAGCCACTCACTCCAAAGTTGCCAGTAAGCAGTTGCTAATAGTTCCTACCCCTCAGGGTGTTCAAAGCGGGGGGCTGGCAAACTGGCCTGCAGGCTGGACCCAGGCTGCCACCTGCTTCTGTAAGGGAGGTTCCCTGGAGCACAGCCATGCCCTTTTAGCTAGCTACTGTCTATGCTGCTGCCTGTAAGGGCAGAGTGGAGCAACTATAGCCAAAGACTTCACAGCCCACGGGGTACACTGCTTGTTATCTGACTCTGTTTGCCAACCTCTGTTTTGTATGTTTTATTTATTTATCTGATTCATCCTATGAGAATCTAAGTTTCATGAAAGAAGAGACTTTTTGGTCAATTTATATTCAATACTTAATCATCAGAGTTGAGAGCAGTGCCTAGCACAGTAGGTTCTCAACATGCACTGAATGATAAAACTTCGATAAATTGTAAATTATGCTTACTCCCCGCCCCCTGCCAAAACTGCCAGGAAGTAAGTACGTGTGCTTGCCAGAGAGAGAGAGAGAGAGAGAGAGAGAGAGAAAGAGAGGGGGGCAGGGAGACAGGAAGTAACCCCAAGGGGATGGTCATGCCATAATTCCTTCTCCATTTCTCTACCCTATAGAAATCTTAGGCGCACACACACACACACACACACACACACACACACACACACTCACTCACACACAGTGTTTTCAAGACCAGTGGCCAGGATTTGAGTTGCAGTTAACACGTGGGATCCAGCTTCCTTAACTACTGGGCTTCGGGGCCAACCCTACTCACACATTATTTCCAAGGTGAGATACTCGGATGACTGAAAAACTGTTTTTAGAAATATTCCCCCTCTCTCTCTCTAAAAGTTGTTTATTTCTTTCAAGGAGGAGGGAGGGACGGTCTTGCCACACAAGACCCCTTCCCCCAGCTCTTCAGCTGGCAGAATCTTGGGCACGTGCACCCAGTGTGTTTCAGGTTGACCTTGGGACTTAAACCCACATGTGGCTGTGTGGCTTCCAGCACGCAGGTTGGGACCACAGCCTGCCTCACGGAAGCCAGGCCAAGTAGGAGTATTCTTTTTTTTTGGGGGGGGTGGTTTTTCACTATAGGAGGGCATGTGCGCTCACCAGACAGAGAGAGACATAGAGACAGAAAGCGAGAAATCACCCCCCAGGGAGTTGGTCACGCCACAATCCCTTCTTCTCCATTCTCCTCTCGGGATCTTGGGCACGCACGCACATGCATCCGGTGTGAGTTCTAAGCCACTGGGTCCGGGACGGGAACCGCAGTCGTAAGCCACTGGGCCCGGGACGGGAACCGCAGTCGATTACGTGAGAATCCAGCAACATAGCCATTACGCTAACTGCTGGTTCTCCAGTAGGAGTATTCTTAATAACTGTCTAAATAATACCATCTAACTGCAATTAATTAAAAAGGTTCCATTAGTTCAAACTGTCTAACAGCTGATGTGCATATTTCTAGTAATCTGTTAGGAATATAAATTAAAGCAAGCTACAAAGTATAATTTGAGAAATAAGTTGGAATTTAAACAAAACATTTCTAAAATTACATAAAGGCTGTTTTTCCATAAAGTCTTACACAGACTCAGCTTTAGAAGCTCTGTAATCATAATCTATAGTTATTTGCATATAATAACCATTAACGCCTTACAGCCAAACAAACACCGTACTATATGCCAGTCTGTCGAGCTAGTCTGCTTTCTGCTTCCGACACTTCTCACTTTAAACTCTAAAGCACATACTTCTAAAACCGAAACCCTGTGAAGTACACGATTGAGTATTTCAGAAAACAGGCTTAAGAGACTGAGAGGCTGGCCTACAGCACAGCGGGGGAGCACGACTGGGGGCAGCAGGACCCCACATGGCCAGCCAGGGCTGTCACTCCACACCGTGTGTGCACCTGGGATCCTTACAGGATGGAGAACTGGAGGAGAAAGGGGGCGGCATGACCGGGCCCTGGGAGGACCTCTCCCTTCCTCCTCTCTCCTCCCTCTTCTTCTGGCCTTTTCTTCTAAGTGTGCATGCATGTGCTCTCTAGCATTAAAAACACAGAAAACAGAAGGAGCAGGGCCAAGAGTGGCGCCTCGCCTCTCGGTAAGGCGGGGCCGCCAGGAAGGCTAGCAGTCCCTGGATGCAGACCTCCTGGGAGTGATGGGCATGAGCGAAGCCGTGGTCCGGACCGCTGGGGCTGTGGGTGCTCTTTCTTGGTCTCTCACTCATGGGATAAATAAATACACTTAAAAAGAAAAACTGCTTAGAGCTACAGAGCATCTTGAAAACAAAAGAGAAAGACTGAGAGAAATACCAGGAGAGAGTCAGTAATACCTTTCCCACACCCCCGCCCACACTGGCATGCTACATTAAATGTCACGAATTGCCAGACACTCGGTCAGCGTTGCGAATGCAATTGCACCAGAGAGCCTGAAAACAACTCAGACCCTAACCTAAAATGCCAAGTGAAAAAAGAAAAAAGAAATGGCAAACAAGGGAAATATACACAATTGCTAAGCACCGACTGTGAGCTGGAAAATCAGTTAGGTTTTCTTGTTACTGTATCATTGAAGCCAGGTTCCTCGTTCTTATGGGAATGCCAACCCAGAGGTTAAATAATGTGAAAAGTGACACAGCAACTCAGTGCTAGACTGATAAGGAGTCTCTGTTTCTCCACCTGTAACTTTCTAACACAGCAGAGTTTTCCCAACGTGGGGTGTGTGAGGTGATTTTTAGGTGACACCAAACATACATCTTTTATTTTAAAGTTATTTGCTTTAACTCGTATTAGGATAAAGTTTATCACATAATACTCATTACTTTATGAATATTACTTTTTAGCATACGGCTAGATAAAAATAAGGAGAACTTTTAAAAAGCTAATAGCAGGGCCTGCAGGTGGTATAGTGGTTAAGGCACTGGACTCTCGCGTGACCAATTGTGGTTCAAGTCCCGAACCTGGCGGCTTACTTTCTTACTTTCTTTCTCTCTCACTCTGGTGAGCAGCACATATGCCCTGTAACAAGTTTAAGAATAATAATAAATAAAATTAAATAATTATTTAAAAAAATAAAAAGCTACTAGGTAAGTGAAAGGACAGGCCCACAGCAAACACTCTCACAATGGTGTTTACAATGAGATTTGAAAAATGAGCAAAGAATCACCTTCCTAAGAACACACCACTCAACACTAATCTTTTTCTTTTTCTTTTTTTTTTTTTTGAGAGGTTTTTGCTATAGGGCGCGTGTGCTCGCCAGGAAGACAGACAGAGACAGAGACAGAAAGCGAGAAATCACCCCCCGGGGGGATGGCCACGCCGCAATCCCTTCTCCTCTGTTCTCCTCTCGGGATCTTGGGCACACATGCACATGCGCCCAGCCTGAGTCTAGGCCACCGAGTCCGGGACTTGAACTGCAGTCGACTACATGGGAGTCCAGCGACATAGCCATTACGCTAACTGCTGGTCCCTTTCTTTTTTTAATTAAACAAGGCAGAGAGGAATTTACAAGTAAAATCAGAGACATACCTGACATAGTCTGGTCAAGTTTGTGGATAAGAGACTTTTTAGCACATTCAACATCAGGGCTTGGGTAATCCAGAACTTGCCTGCACCACACCAGCGGACTAACCGACTTCTGCACTGGTGTCAGTTTTTTCTTTGGTGAGGAATACAGCCTATAAGAAGACAAAAACAGAGGTAACGCTCATTACTGAGCACAGGTAAGAAGGATCCTTCCGAATAGGTCCACCTCGGGCGGGCCAGAGGAGTAACGGTGAGACAGTAAGTTTAAAATCACCCCATTTACTTAGTGCACGGAAGAAAACGAAGCCGTCATCAATACGAACCCGAGCCTCGAGTATGAAATGAATCCTCTGACACATTCCGAGAAAGTGCCTCCTTTTCCTTCCATTCTCATTGCTATAACTACGAGGAAACATGTCTTTAACCCGTTCACTGTTTCACGGGTACTTGACCCTAGTACAGCCTGTCATCAAACCCGTGTGGGAGGCAGGAGAGCGGCTGACCTTACTCCCCGCTGGCTCCTGCCCTCCTGACCACAAACCCACACAGAACACGCCATTCGGGATTTCTCCTTCACAAGCTGTATCAGCTCTGCAGTCCTCCTTTCAAACGACATGTGTCTGAACAAAGCAATACTTGACACTCCTTAATAATTTAACATGGGGGCCGGCAGGTGGCGTGGTGGTTAAAGGTGCTGGATTCCCACATGGCCGAACACTGGGCCCGGCAGCTTGCTTTGTCACTTTTTCTCTCTCTTACACTCTGTCCCTCTCTGGTCAAATGGAAATAAACAAATGAATAAATAAAGTTAAATAAAAATAATTATTTAAAAAATGTAAAACAACAATAATTTAGGAGACTTTTTAGCACATTCAACATCAGGGCTTGGGTAATGAATCAACTTACAAAATTTAGGCCAAGGCGGAAGGGACAGTATCAGTTCCCAGGAAAGGATACACAGGGATGAGGCGAGCGGGAGATGAGGGAGGTGTGCACTCACGTCCTACTTCGCAGTTTCCCTCGGAGTGGCCGGATTATGTCAGTTCTTATTAGCTTATTTCAAATATGACACATTAAAAATGTTGCTTGATTTCTGGGGGCCAGCAGGTGGTGTGGTGGGTAAGGCACTGGACTCCCACATGGTTGACTGCGATTCAAGTCCCAAAACTCACACCAGGCACATGTACGTGCATTCCCCAAATCCCGAGAAGAAAATGGAGGAGAAGGGCCTGCGGTGTGGCCATCCCTTCCAGGGAGCAATTTCTTGCATCCCGTCTCAGTCCCTCTGGCAAATACACACGCCCTATAGCAAAAATCTCTCTCAAAATAAGTAAATAAATAAAATGTAACTCGATTCTAACCAGGGAAGTTTTCAAATTATTATAAGTGTAATATATGCTTTGATGAACTGCTCTGATGTGTGGACACAGCTGAACGTCTCACTGAGGCGGGAAGGGGCCTCCCATTTCCTATCACTTGAGTCGGTGCGCCGGCGTGACGGGTCCTGCTGGATGAACATGGAGGGCCCGCTGCGTCTGTAGCAGTCACCGCGTCCAGCACCAGCACGCGTCCTTCCCTCCCGTCTTCTCCCCATCTGTCCGTAAGCCGTGGCTCAGGCACGTGCTGTAGCTGACAGAACGCACCTGCGTGGCGAGACGGGGTGTGGGGGCAGAGGGGGCGCCCTGGGCAGGTCTCTCTCCCGCCGGGATGCCTACCCCCAGCCCTCCAGCTGGTGGGGACCCGACCCTTCAGGCAGAGCAGGGAGTTGGACCACGGTGGCCACACACCTGTGAGTACTGCAGGGCGCCTGCGTCACCATCACCACGTGGTGGGCCACACGCATTGCTGCACTGTGATGGGAACCGACTGGGGTGGTGGCACGCCGGGGAAACAGTCCCACAGGGGACGGTCTGCAGTCGGTATCGGGAGACGCGCGTGTGCGCTGGGAGTGCACATCCCAAGATCTGGGACTTGCTGAATCTAGGGCTGGACGGTGGCATCAAGACCCTGATGGGGTGCTACACGCCCCTCCCACTCTTTCTCTTGCTCACTTAAGAGATGAGTAAACTTGAAAAGTCAGGGCCAGCCCTGAAGGACAGGGGTTAAGTGCAAAGCACGGGAGGCGGGGTCCCATGCGGCCGACTGTGGCTCACATCCCAGCCCCAGGGCATGGACAACATGCAGGGTGCAAGCACGTATGTGCCGCAGATCCTGGCAGGACGGAGAAAGGAGGGAAAAGAATCGTGGCCTGACCAGCCCTCCTGGAGAGGTTCTCTTTCTCTCTAGAAAATCCTCTGACCAAAAAAAAAAATAAAAAAGGCCTGAAAAAGGAATCAAGACTAACGGGATGCATGACCATTTCTTTGGTTCACCATCCATACTCATTTGGGCAAAAATAGTGGAATCTCAATTTAGAAACTGTTTACTAGCAATTCAAAATGAAATCAATAAAGTTCATTCTCTTTACAACTTAAATGCTGCAAATGGTTCCAACCAAACCTCTGCCTTGGCCTTCCCACTTAAAAGTCGGGTAACCATTACCGAGTGATATTCTTTTTTTTTTTTGAGAGGTTTTTTCGCTATAGGGCGCGTGCGCTCGCCAGACAGATAGAGAGAGACATAGAGACAGAAAGCGAGAAATCACCCCCCAGGGGGGATGGTCACGCCGCAATCCCTTCTCCTCCATTCTCCTCTCGGGATCTGGGCATGCACGCACACGCGCCTGGCATGAGTTTTAAGCCACCGGGTCCTGGACGCGAACCGCGGTCAACTACGTGGGAGTCCAGCGACACAGCCATTCCGCTAACTGCTGGTTCCCCAGAGTGATATTCTATGCTAGCAAATGTCTAGCAGACGAAACCTTCATAGGTGAACATGAGCAATATGCATTAATAAACCCACTCTGAGGTTATCGTGTTCCCCTCAACTCCTCCGCATCCCTTGCCCTACACTGGCGAGTTTTCCATGATTTACCCACTGGACCTGTGTATACTGAGTACAGATCCTCTACTGTTGACTATAAACTCATTTTAATGAAGAAAGAAAGAAAAGAAAGGGGCATGGGTGACCCTCCAAACCATTATGCTTGGGAAAAGTCAGATGAGAAAGAGCATGTCCTGGCCACTGTGGGCTCCCACTTACACGAGATGCCCCGAGAGCACAGAGGACAGGAAGCAGGCCAGTGGCTGTGGAGGGCTGGAGGTGGGAAAGGGGCACCATTTCTCTTTAGGGTGGAATAAGTGTTCTAAATTTAGATGGCAATGATAACTGTGGTAATGATTTGGCAATTGTAAATATACTAAAATTCACTGAATTACACAATAACTAATATCTAAATTTTATGATAAATAAATGGGTACTGGTACTTTTTTTTTTTTTTTTAAGGTTTTTACAATAGGGCTTGTGCACTCTCTGGAGAGAGAGAGAGAGAGAAAGTAAGAAACCATCCCTCAGGAGGATAGGCATGCTGTAATCCCGCCCTCTCCTCTCTGGATTTCGGGCCTACACGCACGTGCACCTGACGATCTTTAAGCCCTCAGGTCAGCCATGTGCGACTCTGATGCCTTAACCACCACGCCACCTGCTAGCCCCTGGTAAGGGTAAATTTCGTGTTGTGTAAATTATCTTTTTTTTTTCCTTTAAGAAAGATTTTTGCTATAGGGCACATGTGCTCACAGGTGAGACAGAGAGACAGAAAGCAAGAAATCACCCTCTGGGAGGATGGCCACACTGCAATCCCTTCTCCTTCATTCTCCTCTTGGGACCTTGGGTTCACACACACATGCCCAGCATGAGTTTCAAGCCACCAGGTCTAGGACTCAAACTGTAGTCGACTATGTGGGAGTCCAGCAACGTAACCAATACGCCATCTCTTGGTCCCTGTAAATTATATCTTAATAAAACATTTTTTTAAAAATTATGAGGTACTTTCAGCATCTTTAAAAATACGTAAACTGGTTCAGTAGCAGGTGGCTTAGTGGTTGAGGCATGGATTGCCACATGGCCGATCACAGTTCGAGTCCTGGACTTGGAAGCTTGAAATCCACGCTAGGTGCATGTGCGTGCACGTTTAATAAAACTCTGAGAAGGGGCTGGAAAAGAAAGGACTGCAGTGTGGCCATCTCCCCTGGGGGGGTGATTTCTCACTTTCTGTATCTCTGTGTGTCTATGGAGTACATGTATCCTATTAGCAAAAATCTCTTTAAAAATACAGAAACTACTATAAACTAAATTAATGAAACAGCGATAATTCAAAATCAATTAAAACTAAAATGTCACTGTTTCTCCTATCCACCATGAATCTGCAATGGTATTTTTCCTGTTTTTGTAACTGGCAATTTAACTCTTTCAGTAAAAAATGCTAAAAACTTGTGAATAATTTTGGATTCCTCCATCTTTTTTATTCTGTATCATTACCGATACTCTGTCGCTCGGTCCTGGTGATCCAGCTTTATAAACTACCTCTTCCCCTGCACCCCCATTTTTACTCTCACAGTTAGAGAACGCGCCTTCATCCTGTAGCACACGGAAGTTAATGGAGCAGCCACCAGGTGGCATGGAGGGTACGGCAGCCGGGTCCTGGACAGCGGGCTGAAATCATGCCAGGTGCGTGTGCATGTGTGCCCACAATCCTGAGAGGAGAACGGAAGAGAAGGGTCTTCAGTGTGGCCATCCCCCCAGGAGGGGTGATTTCTCACTTTCCGTTTCTCTCTGGCAACCGCACACGCCCTACAGCAATCTAAAAAAAGGTAATGGAGCAACTCGTGCACGCCCAGAGTGTGAGGAGGGGAGACGGATCCAGTGGCCTGGGTGTACGATATCGATGTCACCCTAGCCTCTTCTTTCCGAGCCTGAGGGCTGGCCCGTGTGATACTGGCATAAGGCTGTCTTGGCCAGGGAAGCCCAGGTCGAGGCTTCACAGCACTCCTCGACCTGCCAGACGACACTCGAGCTGGGCCGGATCGTGTAACTGGGTCCACCCTTACAGGACCAAGGTGCTCATGCTGCTGAATTAGAAAAGAAAAATCCCAAGTGAAAACATTTGTAATAACTAACGTACCAGCTCATTTGCTCACTTAATTTTAAGAACTGTTTAATTTTATTTTACTTTATTATTAGTTTTAAAATTTTGCTACAGAGCATGCCTGCTCAC